AGGAATGTTCTGTAGGTACTTGGCAGTGTTAGATAAGTAAAAAGTGTAACAATTGCTTCCTCTGGCTTTTTAAAATCATCATTAAGATAAAACGCAAAAAAAAATAAAATATGAGAACAGATGAAACATGTGAGTTACATCAACAGTTGTCAGTGCAAATCAACCCCCCCATCAAACTAAATGCGAGACACTAACCCTTGACCAACACATCTTGATAAATGGGCTCAACGAGGGTTGCAGCAGAGCTTTGCATTGGAAGGTTCTGTTCCAGGGTCTCTGAGTGAAACTGCACAAGTTTCTTAAGAACAGATTCCAGCGGTAGCTGCAGTCTCCTAATGTGACAGTGAATACTTGTCACTTGACTAATTGGCCCTAATTCACCCAAAATGAAGAAATAATTAACTGCACAATGTCACTCACCCCATGCCTCCCCTCCTCGCATTCTCTCTGAGGTCTTGTTAAGGCCATGACGAAGTGACAGACAGGAAGTCAGATCATAAGTGCTATTATGTCACCTCATATTCTCTGATCCCATTTCAATTAACAGATGGTCTGTATTTCCAGGAAAGAATATTTCCCTGCAGGTAGTTTAGTATTGCTCTTTCCTGGCTGTTGAACAAGGGAGTGAAAAATAAAATTCAACAGGTTTTCAATAGGTTCACTAAATCAGATGAGGCCTACTGGCCCAATCTGGATCATGTTGGTAATGTTTCTGGCATGTGAACATGAGAGCTGTTCCATAATACCATCACCACCACCCTTTAAATTTTAGAAAGCAAAATGCTAAGGGCTTGCAACTCAGCTAAACCGTCAGCACCATGTCGATTAGCCATAATCCCATCTGAAATATATATTTTAGAATCGCTCTTTTATTTTACTTTAATCTCAACAGAAATGGAGACAGAAATGAAAGAGAAAGCAGAAAGGAAAGAATAGATAAGGTACAAGGATACACTTCTAGATGTGCAGAAAGAGATAAAAGAACCAAAATCACAAAAGAACTGAGATACCACAGCAACAAAAAACATATGAATACATAACAATAACCATGTCACTAAAAAGCACACCATCAGGGACGGCTCTACCCAGTTTGGTGTCCCAGGTGAGATTACTCCTTGGCACCTTCCCACACACACACACACACACACACACACACACACACACACACACACACACACACACACACACACACACACACAGACTCGCACAAACCTTTCTTCTGTGCCCCCTGACACGAACACAGAATTTCTCTGATTCATGAATTATGAAATCTTCAACCATGATTTTTTAAACAATTTTTTTCATTCATCTTTAGGTGTGAATGAAACAAATTTCAACAAATATTTTTTGTAACATTTTGTTAATTTACAAATACTTTATTACATGTCCACCTCAGTGGACAGCGTGCATTCTGAACATGAAATATGTTGGCTTGCCTTACTGAAGTCCAAATGGAGGGGCTCACATGCAATAAAGTCTTCAACAGCTGTGCTTAATAGCAAAAATAAATAAATAACAATTTTGAGTACCTGTCCACTGTAGTGACCATTATGCATCAAAGGGTTAAATGATTGAAACTGTTAAATCAGCTCTGTTCCTGAATATTAAAAATCACTTATTTATGTTGATACAAAAGCATTTACCTCAGGTCAAAATAGTTTTATAACCTAATCACAAACACTCACCTTTTGTGCCTCACCCATATGTCATTCTTCCTCTGTCCTCTCTCTTTTCTCCTCTTTTTTGTCTCTCTCTTCCTCACAGCGCTCCTGTCTTCTCTTCTGTCTGTAATAACAAAAATGTTGTCAATCTGTGGGACAGTGGGGGCGAGTGAGTCTGCTGTAAAAGAGATCCCACTGTCAAAGTACAACAGAAAGTAATGAAGAATTATTAAAAAAATTATACAGTTATTGAAAAGTTTGCAAAAATGAAATATCTGCCTGAAGAAGCCGGCAGCTGTCGGCGAAACCGTAGCTACAAACAGGTAAACAAAACTGTTTCTGTGTTTAAAAAAGAACGAAAGCATGGATTTACAAAGACACAGCAAGAACACACCTAAGATCTGCATGTTTTTTGTTTGACTCCTGTTTCCTTCCTCCTCATGTCTCCTGTTTCCTTACTCCTCTTGTCCCCTGTCTCCTTCCTCCTCTAGTCTCCTGTTTCCTTCCTCCTCTTGTCTCCTGTCTCCATCCTCCTTTTGACTCCTGTCTCCTTCCTTCTCTAGTCTCCTGTTTCCTTCCTCCTTTTCCTGTCTCCTTCCTCCTCTTGACTCCTGTCTCCTTCCTCCTCTTTTTGTCTCCTCTTGTTGTTCTCCTCTCTTGCCTTCAGAAAAACTGCTTTCTGCCCTGTCTATTAGTAAATTCATTTACAATGCCATCAAAGTCCAGATTCCTGACAAGCTGAGATTCAATAGCCATCAGTGACAGTGCAGTGAGGCGCGGTTGAGTTTGTGCTGTTCTCAGTTCATTTTTTATTCTTGCCATTTGTGAAAATGATCGTTCCCCTTCACATTCTGTAACTGGTAGAGTTAGAAAAATCTGCAGGGCCACAAACACATTAGGGAAGATGGACTGTAGACTATTTTTAGCCCCAAAACGATCCTGGTACATCTATGTGAACTCTCCGGGGATTATTTTGAACTGCGAGGCGCAGAGCTCTAATGGTTGATGCGCTCCAGACAGATGCGTCCTGAGCACGGCCACTGTAACATCAAAGTGTCGCCACCTCAACAACAAAGTTAATATGCTATCGTTCATGTTGGCTCATATCCTTTCATGCTTTCTGTCTTTTATTTGTGTCTGATGTGTTTCGCTGCTGCGGAGCGCATCACCTGTTTCATCCTCCGGTAACTTCTCCGCACCGGTGCGGTCTGCGAGCGGCGCGCACTCCACTATATTTGCAGTCGGTAGATCTTTTAGGACTGCAGTTCAAAGCTAACTCATGAGGTGAATATATATGAAGCCAGGTAGCAGTTTTTCTTCAGAATTGAGAGGAAATGCAGGAAGATAATAGACAGAGGGAGAACAGAAAAATAGTCAAATAAAAAAACAAGTTTGTTTTTGTACCTTGTAGCAACTGTAACGTTATGAAGTTCATAATTTTCAGCTCCACACAGCTGCCCCTGTACACAGTAACACCCGTGTAGAAAACGCCAAGGTCGGGTGTGCCTCAGACTGTTTACATTCCAGGAGAAGAGCCAGAAGGAGAAGAAGAACGCTTTTCAATAATCAAAGTACTTAATTTGTGATTAAAGCTAGTCGAAACAGATGTTGATCAATAATAATCAAGTGAATGATCTGTGGAATAAAGATGTCATGATTTATGTGTTTAATGAAAACAGGACTACTGCACAGACAGACTGACCCTCATCTCCATAGAAACGCATGACACATTGTTCCAACCAATCAGAGCTTTCGGCTGCCGTAAGAGAATCTGGCTTGTTGAATTAAAGTGTCCAATCCCGTTTACTAAAACTTAAAACAACTCAGAGATATAAAAACAAGGCAACACCATTTTATGAGGAGTTCCATTTTGACTTCAGTTCTGTTCAGTTGGAAGTCCTACGGGGTTCCACCGTCATCAAAAGAGAAGTACAGCCTGGCCAGATGTGCTTTCTTCTTTAACTGAGAACTGTGAAGCTACTGGAGATTTCCGTTGTTTACCAACAAGACGACATCCCTTCAAAATAAGAGCACCACTAGCTGACGCTGCCGATGGTACAGCGGTCGACCCTTCAGACGGGCTTTGACGTGCTGTGACCGCTGCTTCAACCAGCTCCAGTACACATCCGAGGTCCTAGGACCTGGCATTTCCTGATCTACCTGGGAGACTCCACAGGGTACGTACACGGCAAAATAGCTGCTCATGTCATCAGCTTCCCGAAGCCTCGTGGTCCGTAGTCATAACAACCAGATACGCTCCGTCAGCCTAAAGATCCTGAACAAAACACACACACACGCACCAACACAACATCCAAATCCATTTTCATCCATCACAGAGTTAGTCCTGGTAGATTGTTAAGAATTTATAATTAAGAAATTAAAGATTCTTAAACGATCCCAACTCTCTCTCTTTTCTTGTCTCGAAGTCAATACAGAGTGTTTAATTAAACTCCCTGCGGAATGTCGGAACGGGTGTGTGTGTGTGGGGGGGGGGGGGGGGGGGATGGTTCGGAAAGCGGAGTGAGAGAGTTGGTCCTCTGTAATGTAAAATGAAGCCTTTTAACGACCCTCTCGACCATCCTTTCAGCATCTAGTCGAACTCTACGATACATGCATACATTTGATTATTGTTTTTTTTTTATTTTGCAATCTTGCACCCTGTCCAGTAAATTGCACCCCCAGGCTGTCGCCTGTGTCACCTGTCAGTAAAACCGACTCTGCACACCATAATTTGTGGTCAATTTAGTGCCAACCACAGTCCAAGCTAATGTGTCTGAAAACACTTGAGTCCTTACTTATGACAACACCATCTGTGTGTGTGTGTGTGTGTGTGTGTGTGTGTGTGTGTGTGTGTGTGTGTGTGTGTGTGTGTGTTAGGAGTCACCCTCCCCCAGGACCCATAGAAGACCTGGAAGAGATCTGAGCCGATCCTCCATGAGTATAGGTAGCTAAAGTCATGCACGTCTACTTCCAGACCATGGGTCCCTGGATATGAGAAAAAAATGATTGCAAGTGAGTGTGCCACGGATTGTTCTGGCACACTGTCGGTGATATCGTTCTCATCAGCTACATGCAGGGTGCAGCTCGGCCGCAGGTGTGGACTAAACTACTGATATGGTGGTATGATGCCTCAGAGATAATTCACTTATTATTTTTAAGGCAAAATTCAGTTTCTTACAGGCAAGGGAAGTTAATTAAGACATTGAGTAAGTCGGGAATAAATAAATACAACAAAACATTTTATTCAAGGCTGTCTCAGGGCCCCTCCCAGAAGAAATTATTTTAACAATTAGTGTCATGAAATGGTTTTTGCGCTATTTAATATTCCCGTTTGTAAGCGGAACTCTTTACGGCATGGTGCTAGTTTCCAGTGGACTTTTTCAATGTTGCACACTCGCCTTCAGGTTGCATCCTGTGGACCCAAATGTGTTTTGTGATCAGGAGCTAGATGGGTTCATCCCGTTGACGGCCCGTTCGCGGAACCGGACTAACGGTGAGTTTTTTTATTCAGACCCGCTGATATCAGCTCACGGAGGTTCTGCTGTTCGGTGTGACACCGGCGAGTTCAGACGTGGAACCCAGTTTGGGTTCGCTCCTTTATAAATCACCTCTTTATCGCTAATGACCAGAGCCGGGACTGGTACCGACCATGTAAGTCCTGAATGAGCTTCTGACCCACAGACATGTGTGACACCAAAGAAAAGGACTGGTATGCTGTTCTGGGGGCCAGCCCGTCAGACTCGGTCCAACAGCTCCGACACCGGTACCAGCAACTGGCTCTAAAGGTAAACACCTTTATTAGGTATTTACAGTCTATGGTAAACACACACTGATTGCTGTAAGTCACACCCGAGTCCGGGTTCTGGTCCCGGTTCGTGTCTTTTTTGGTTAAACGTTCAGCAAAGGAGGTCAGGATCAGAGGTGCAGGTCCTGGACCGTGGGGTTCCTGGTTCTGGTTCCAGACATGAAACAGAAACACATTCCCCTCATTCACAGACAGATGCGTTGTTCCGGTTCAGCCTGTCTCTGAAACCCGAGTCCTCTGTGAGAGATCTCATCCCAGATGATGGGAATAGATCTCAGGACCCTCAGGCAGGGGAGGATCTAGAACATTTTTTATGGGGTGGCAGAAGAGGGGCAAACATTTTTCTAGGGTGGCAGCACACACACACACACACACACACACACACACACACACACACACACACACACACACACACACACACACACACACACACACACAGAGAGATTACATGATTATATATATATATATATATATATATATATATATATTAGGGCTGCACGATATTAGGAAAACCTGCGATTTTCGATAACAGTGCTTAATATTGCGATATCGATATTACTCACGATAAATGAACAAATACTAAAGTATGCAGTGTTGATGTCGTCTGGCGTGTGACGTCTGCTCTGGGTTCAAAGCAAACAAAAACTAATGCATGAATTCCATTACAACATAACATTTTTATTGCAAAAATATGCAGCTGCACCTGCTACTGTATTAGCAGCACAACAACAAACTACATGCATGCAGTTTCTCAGTGACTTTAAAACATCACCTCCACCATAAAACTTTTTCTGATGCTCCAAATACAGAAAATCATCCCTTACCAGGTTTTTTTTTTATAAATAAAAATATCAGAAAATAAGTTTAAATGTTAAATAATAGTTAACATCACTTAAATGCAACAGCAAATTCTCTCATTGCTACTGAACATTTTCTCCACTTATATGGTTATGATATAGGGCTGTTGCTGTAATTGGGGAGTGAACTGTGCTGGGCCAAACTAGGAGAATATTAAGATTTTCTGAGGGAAAAACAATTATCTACCTTTCAGAAGAGGAACTGGCAAAAAAACTACATGGAAAATATGTGAAAACGTTTGTTTTTAACCCCAAATTGAAAAAGTTTACCTAGATCTTAAAAAGCAGCTCAGATGATGAAACTGCAACTATGATTCTGATAACAAGTGTAGCGGAATATAGTTGGTATATTCTTACACTTTATTAAGGTACAGATATTAATCTTACCTTAGAATCAGAAGAGGTTGTTTTTACCACAGGGAATTTTATTCAAACACTTTGTATTGACTTAGAGACAAGAAAAGAGAAATATGGGACGTTTAAGAATATTTATTCTTATAATTATTTGAAACAATCACCAGGACTAACTCTCTAATGATGGATGAAGATGAATGTGAGCTGAAGTGTTGGTGTGTGTGTGTCAGTTCAGAATCTCCATCTGGTGCAGGCGAGTCTGAGTGTAAGATATTGTTTTGACTAACTAACCACGAGGGACTTCAGGAGGAAGAGACATGAAACGCCATCTATGCCGATCTACGTACCTTCGGAGACTCCCGTGTATGATCTGGAATGCCAAGTCCTTGGACCCTCCTTTGGTGCTGGAGCTGATAGCACAGTGTCTGCAGCACGACAAACCAGTCTAAGGATTGTCTCCCGGTACAACGGCAGGTTTCAGCGTCACGTAGAGAGTTCAGCTTTTATTCTGAAGGAACCGTCGTCTTGTTGGCAAAACGACAGGATTTTTCCAGCTTGACAGTTCTCAGCTTAAAGTAGAAAATACAGCTGGCCAGTCTGCACTTCACATAGCGATGATGGATTTGAGAGCTGGTCGAGCTCACGTTGGAACTACGTTGAAACTTGCGGTGGAACTGAATTAAAATGGCGTCGTTCTGTTTTATTAAGCTTAGATGTTTTGGATTCTTAGCGAATCGGAGTGGACAGATTAACTAAACACCACAGAACTCTGCCAGCAACAGAAAGGAAGTTCTGATTGGATGAGGAAGCAATGTGTCATGTGTTTACCTTATGTGGATCAGGATGTCTAGCTCAGTTAGTCCTGTTATTCATTACACATAATCATAACATTGTGATTTCACAGATCGGTCACCTGAGTATTATTGACCAACATTTGTTTTGATTAGCTTTATTAGAAATAAAGTTCTTTGATTAACTAATGAAAAGCTTTCTTCGTCCTTCTGTCTTCTTTGCTAGAATGTGAACATCAGAAACCTCAGCACAAAGTGCGTTCGTTGCTCTGAGCCAGCATGACAAACAAGGGAACGGCACCGCTAACTCAGTTCGAGTGATGCTTTCCATCCTAAGGGTCTACGTAGGGGACGGGCGTATTACGTGAACGGACCCATCTGATTGGCCGCATATCAAAAGGGCTACATTTGATTGGTCAAATAATACTTCCGTGTAAAAAAACAGAGCTGGTTTACAAAAAGTTGATGAATGACACGGATGGAAATGTTTGAACCAAACATTTATCGCCGTTTTTGACGTGCTGTTATCGCGATGACGAAAATTTTTCGATATATTGTGCAGCCCTAATATATATATATATATATATATATATATATATATATATATATTTATATTTATCTGAGCTGAATCAAGGTAAATCTAAGTGCACTGTGTGTAAAGAAATATTTCACTGCAACGAGATATTGTACTTTGGTTTTATTGTTCACTCAGAAACATGTTTTCCTTTTTCATTCACCAATATTTACATATTCATGCATACATTTGTTTTGGGTTCTCGTTTAATAAGCTTAAAGGCCCATCATGAAAATAAAACACATAATAAAATGATGTCCTTCCTACAACTGCTGAATGCGGCGGTTTCCATGTTGCTCAGCAAAACACTTTTAAATTCATCAAGATCCAAAGATTTTGCCCGCTTTGATTCAATGCCGAGTACAGCCAAGCTGGATAGTCTTTTCTCTGTCATAGCAGACCGCAAATAGGTCTTTATGAGCCTGAGAGTTGAAAATCTTCGTTCACAGGATGCACTGCTTACTGGTAAAACAACAGCTATGTTACACAACCTGAAGAATTCATGAAAAACATCCTGATATGGGTCTAAAAACTGAGTCATCTCCATCAGAGTGGTAGGACTCTCTTTCCCCCCTTTTTCTCTGCAACACTCTTCTCATCTGATGTAACTCGTTTTTGAGATCCTCAGTGTTGGAATCATAAGCTTCAGCCAACAGAAGAACAGTCTCCTCTCTCAAAAATGTCTGACTTGATGGATTTAGTGCCGGTGTCGGAACAGGATCTGCTCGGGTGCAGGATCGGCTCGGGGTCCTTCGACTGCCGATGATGTCAAAGTAGTTGATTGGCTGAACATGAAGCTTATGAAAGTTATGTTATCATGTTATGATTTTGATTGGTCAAAACAAATTTGCGGTCGTAGTCTTGGCGGTTGTAGTCCTGTAGTCCAAAAAATCAACACTTTTTGGAGAAAATAGGTTTGAATTTCTAAAGGAAATGTAAAATATAAGCAAATGATAAACGGTGACCCTCAAAAGCTCTTGATGTTGATGAAATGGGGCAAAATAAAATATAAGAACTTTATTGAAAGACACCAAGCAACATTTTGAGTCAAAGAATGTATTTAGATAACAACTAAGGAAATATACAGACGATCTCCACATTAATACAAACAGATATGGCTTCACATATAAGAACTGTTCTATTTTCTGTCAGTCCGATGTTGGTTTTATGCAGTTTCACATTCTTTACAAAACAAAGATAATTTGGTGTTTAATTAACAAATTACAATTATAAAGAAAACATTTAGGTGTTAACAAACAAGAATTTATTAACAAAACTGCTGATGTCGTTCCAAAACGTGTGTGTTAAAAGCCGAGTAGATTTGCAGTAATGTGACGTCATCGGCAGTCGAAGGACCCCGAGCCGATCCTGCATCGACACCGGCACACCTTGCATTATGTTAAAGTTTGTGTTAGAAAATCTTCTTCCTTTTTCTCAATCATGTTATCCAGAACCGGATAGTACACAGAGATGCAAAAAGTGTGTTTGTTATCTGGAACTTCGTGTTGTCCTAAGGTGGAGGCAATGACACTGCCCTGAAGCACCTTTGATGTGACTCTTGGCCTCTTTAGTTTGTGCTGAGTTGTCTCAGTGTTGCTTCATCTTTCTCTCAAGTGTTTCACTCCACATCTCCTCAAAAGAGTCATGACTACGGTACAGGATCAGTGTCTCTTTAAATCGTTCAACAAGTTCAACAACCTTAATCCACCGTTTTAGACTGGAGCATGTCTGATAAATATTTGGAGTCACTGAGAACCTTTCGAAAGAGAACAAGACGTCCGGCAAAATTTAGATCAATCTGAGCCAATATCCCTCTTGCTTCAACAGCTCTTTGTGGATGTTTCTCAGAAGCGATCTCTTCAAGCACCTGTACAATTGCAGGCAACCTGTTCATAACATTGCAACATGCTATGTGCCTAAAAGCCCAGCGTGTATCACTTAGCTGTTGAAGCTCTCGTGGTGCACCATCAAACATCTCCCGCTGCACTTCCAGCCATCTGCTATGTACATAAAAGCCAGATATGAATGTGTACATTTGTGGCTCGGCTTTCTTTTAGGATGGCAACTGCCACCCTTGTAGATCCGCCCCTGCCCTCAGGCTTTTGCTCCCTAGGAAAGGGAGTTCCTCTCTGGGAAGTCTAGTCAGACACTAAAGTATATGGAGCCTAAGTCTCCTCCCCTTGGTGTCAGCTCATGGGTCTAAAAGAGCTATGTTATAATCCACTTTGCCTTACGCCCACCAATGTTGTACTGCAGTTTAGATGAAAAGTAATGATGGGTGTTTCGACCTCGCCAGTCATGTACTTTGAGATTTATCAGCTTGTAAAAGTTCGTATGTAGCATGACTACACACCAGGAATCGGCACCCTTCTCCAGTTAAAGGGTGGGAAATGCATTTGCCAGCGAATGAGGGGACTTTGCATTTGTGTTTCTGCAGAGTCGTTCATACCATCGGGTCCGGGCTATTATCTTAATAAAATAATATGAAGTTTTAGTTCTTTACACCTAAACATTTCAGAATGTTAAACAGTTCTGTGAGGATTTTAATTTTAAACCGGTTTCGGAGTCCACCTTAATATTCTGGTTTTGTTGTCTAGAGCTCTGTGTGGACAAACGCTGATGTCCATCATGGAAACTCTAAATCCCGATGTCCCCAGCAGGCCACTGAAGCCACATGATCAGGGCCAGTTAGAATAAGTCAGCAAAAGGAAAAGGTGGAGGGTTTTTGGACCACAACCTCTGGAACTAATTTGCTCCGTCTGTCTGTGCATGTGCATGTTTTTGTGTAGCACCATCCTGATCGTCTTGAAGGGGAGCATTCTTCTGAAGAATTTGTTGAACTGAATGAAGCCTGGAGGCTCCTTAGCGACCAGAACATGAGGAGACAGTACGACCTGCAGAGGCGAGGTGAGAATTCCCGTTCTCTCTTTATTTGTCTCTACGGTTTCTTGTTTCAGCTCTAAAATGAAACCAGTTGTGTAAAGGCGGGTTTGGTTAAAGCTAGCTCTTTCCAGGTGAGGTGGCTATCAATATGGTGTGTCAGTTAGAATACGGGAAGGGGCTAGATGCATCCTTTGATGTAGATCCGTATCTTTAATCTTGGTTGATGCTCATCTGAAACAGTAAGCATAAATAAGTTATCATGATAAGAAACAATTACGGTGACAGCAAATTCCCTTACAGAATATAAAATTATTCAATATATCAGCACTCTATGCACTGAACTAACCATCTGTCACATATATCTTAAAATAAACTAATAATGAACCTTCTCATTCAATACGGAAAGGGGGAATGAAGCAAAATGCATTTATCTTAATTAACTAACTTACAGTCTAGCAGAGAAATTCAAACAACAACACCATCTTGTGGCTAACTAAGATCTCCACAACTCACTCACGTGACACTGTCAGCCTTTACTCAATGGAGAAATTATAAGGTAAAAACTAGAAATGAAATACAACAGAATAACTCCTCATGTCATTAACATCAAGGCTAGGGATGAGTACCGAATTCGGTACTTTTTAAGGTACCGACCGAATTCCATAGTACCGACCGAGCACAGATTCACGTCATTTCAAACGGTGCCTCGTTTCGGTACCCGTCCTTCATAACGAGAACTTGCCAAGACAGCTGCGCATGCGCAAGAGCGTTATGTCATCGCTCACTGCGAGCCAGTTGTAAACAGAGCAGCATGGTAGAAAGAACGCACGCTAAAGCTTGAGTCCACTTCACTAAATGTGATGGGTAACTGGGTGATGATGAAACCAGCGACAACGATCTAAGTGAGACATCCTCATCTTAATCTGCTCTGGTAGGTAAATAAAATGTTTAAGATAACGTTAGCTTGATATGTTAGCTTCCGTTTCGCTAATGGTGCGTTCGCTTTCTCCTCGGAACTCCGAATTTCCGACTAGAAGAACATGAACACGCTCTAAAGTCTGGCTTCAATTTACTAAATGCGACGGGTGATTGGGTGAAGATGAAACCAGTCACAACGATCTAAGTGTGAGGCATCATCGTTTTAATCTGCTCCAGCAGTTAAATAAACTGTTTAAGATAATGTTAGCTTGATATGTTAGCTTCCATTGCCACCGTTGTTATCAGCTAATGGTGCGTTCGCTTTCTCCTCGGAAATTCTAACTTCCCAGTAGGAAAAATCAAATGGAAAAAGACGGTCAAAGGAATGAAGATACACAGTAAATTTAGTTCACAGTAAAGATGTTTGCTTCAGTTTAATTATCAGCTCATAAAACTACAAGGACGATGTTAAAATACAAACAGTTGAATGTTATTTATCGTGATATTTATCAAATATTGTTATATATTGAGAAAAATATATATTTAATTATAAAAGAGAATTAAAATAATAAACACTCAAAAGTTTCGAAAATTGGTACCGTTAAGTACCGGTATCGATTCCTAGGTACTGGGAATTAGAACCGAATCGATTCAAATGTCAAAGGTACCCATCTCTAATCAAGGCTAACCAACTTTAAATATGTGTATAAAAGGAAAGAAATGTGTTGGACATAAACACTTCAGACTTTCAGTACTCAACTAATATTCCATAATTAAACAAAGGAACTTAATAATGCAGTCTTAGACGTGAAGTAAATGAATCATTTTCTTGCATTAATACAATGCTGTCAACATCAACATGACTTGCAGGTGTAATGATAGTAGAGGGTAAATTGGGTTAAGTAAATTGCTTGAAAAGCTATTTATATTATTACCACTACTTGTGACCAATAAGTGGTGATACTCTAAACTAGAATGTCACCTGCTTGGTCTTATTGTTTTGGTCAGAAGATTCTAAGATTATTTTATTCATTAAGGGATCCTACACACTTCGCTTTCATTCAAGAAACAGTCAGGTTTATAAACAAAGTAAGAATTTATTTGCAAACACTTAAGACTTGACAAAACTATTATTTACTGTGAGTAGGGCTGCTCGATTATGGCAAAAATAATAATCACGATTATGGTGACTGAAATTGAGATCACGATTATTTAGGACGATTTTTCAATTTATGATGATTTTATTTGTTTTTATTCAGTCATAAAATTGCTCAGGGCACAATCAGGACAAAAATAAGAAACAAGATTATCACTAAAATAACTCCTGATTCCCAGTATAAAAAGACCAATATACTTATAGCTCATAGTTTATGACCCAAGGACTATAGACCTTGGTTTAACTCATTTAAGTCTAACCAGTACAGACCCAAATACCAATATCTTGCAAATACTGACAGCAAGAATTATACAGTGGCATTTATAACAAATACATGCAAATAAATTGATGTTCACAAAATGTTGCATAACATTTATTGAGTCGTGTCAAGGTGCTGTAGGAGCGTGCACTAGCACTGTGTCCTCAGAGAGATTAGTTATTAGTTATCAGCGTGAGGAACTTATTTCTACCTTATTTATAAACTATTTATTTACAGGCCCATCAGTTAATGTAATAATTGTCCCAACCACAGCTGCACCCCCCACCCCCCCACCCGGTCTCACAGCAATCGGGCAAGATGCACGTGTGTTTAGCACGCTGCATGCGCACATTTAGCTGTTTTTATCGGCTCAGGAGTCCGCAGGTGTGGTGTGTGTCACTCACTCTGGTTAACAGGGAGCCGGCTCCGAGAGCTGTTTCTTTAGCGACCGACACATCACTGCATCATTCCCTTTCCTAATGTCCTGAAGAATGGTCCGGAGCGCAGGCGGAGTGTTTAGCTAACCTGCAGGAAATGTCGACGACAGTTATCCAGAAAGTAGCTAAGGGTTACCAGAGATGTTTCTGAGGTGTTCGCTAGGTACTTTTAGGATTAAAAAGTCAAGAATGGGGTCTGAAAAGCTGCTAGAAATAGCGTCAAAGTCGCTAAGTTGGCAACACTGTGGGAGGAGCGCTTCATTTGCAACTCAGGGCAGCGCAAGCGGGAGGAGCAAATAATCGGCTTGTTTTGTTTTTTATAATCGTTCAAAACTCAGATCGTAATCGTGATTAAAATTCGATTAATTGAGCAGCCCTAACTGTGAGTGGATGTGAACTAAAGGATGGTCTGGAACCTATTTGTGAATATAATGTATTCAGAATCTCCGTTCTCAGAGCTGAGTTCTGGATATGAAAGAATTTGGTTTGCATTAAGCTATAAGTTGTTATTATCAAAACCACATGCAGATGCTATCTCGCTGTGCTCTACCTCACCCGTTTGGAGACCCCGTTTGGATCCGATATGTGTAGGAGCCGATGACTGCACCTGGTTCGTAGAGAAACCTCTATGCGACCAAATCAGTCCTCAGATGTCTCCGGGTCACAATGATAGATGAAACCAAACGTCTTGAAAATAACTCTGAAGGAGTTTTGAGTCAGCTTTGTTCTGCAGGAAAACTATCTTGTTGTTCTCAGCTTCGCAGGTGCGAAAAAGGTTTAAGGTTTTGACAACGTGTCAAAATCCTTGGTTAAAGAGGTCTGCTAAAGATGGCTGGTCTAAAGCTTGCTCTCGGACTGGTTTGTCTGAAGTTGAACTGAGAGAAAAACCAGAGTAAAACTAGTTTTGACGGATTGATGTTATCTTGAATAGCCAACCAGAACGCCAGTTGGCACGTTGAGGATGTTACCAAGCATCTCAGAACACACCCTCTTCGATGGAAACTCCGAATGTGAGCCAAAGGTTAACTTATGTGCAATGCATTAACTTAACTTTACCTGTGAGTGCAAATGTTATGACCTCGTCAAGTAAACATACTAATCATGTCATTAAACACAAATCGATGAAACATTTCATTATTTATAATTACCAATAACAGAAGTTCATTCAATGATTATTTTTAATTATAAAATCTTCGTTTCTTCTTCCATCTGGCAATAAAGGAGTTTATTTCTCTGTGAGGGATCTTGGAGGAGAAAATGTTTATTGTTTATCATTTATTATCCCTGCAGTCCAGCTGCTGTGAGGAAGTAGGCTCTGATTAAAGGGCTACATGCAGACTTCGGGCCTCCTGTTAGGGGAAAAGATTGTAGGAAGTGTCATAGCCAGGGTAAGTTGACCTGGCTGTGCATTTGACCCGTGGGATCTCAAAATCAGGCCATTTTGTGACGTTACACAGGAGAACGAAGGAACACTGTCTCACACTGCACCGCAGGTAAAAAAGGAAAGAAAGGGAAAATTCTAGCGTTGGAAGTGAGCTCACTGTGGAAGGCACTTGAGGAGCAACTTGTAGCTTTAACAGTGAAATTAGAGTTTGCACTTGTTGCAAATGGTCGAAGAGATTTTAAAAAGGTTGATGAAGGACCATGTGGAGGAAACACCCTTCTTATCAATAAAGAAGTGGTTGATATATATGTTCCTTTATTAAAGGTCTTGTTTACTTAGAAATTGGGTAATAAGCAGCAGTAATAAGTCACACCCATCTACTTCAGGGCCATCGGTCCCCTACTGCCAAAAAATAAATGAATGGGCATCTATGAGAGGATAAAAGTTATTTTCTGATCTGGTTTCATTATTGTGAAAATGTTTGGGCACACCTGATCATTTTAATATTTTTTTTTTGTAAATCTTTGGTTGTTTGGATCTGAAATCTCTGTTAGATACATATATATTTATGTAGCAGATGAACACAGGGATATTGGAGAAGTGAAATTATATATTGGATTTACAGAAAGTGTGCAATAGATATCAGCACAAATCATACATACTTTTACCTATATTGTAGTGTGGAATGTAATATAGGCTTGATCGTGTGATATTACTCAATCAGAGAACAAAAGACAGTAACAGCAAGTATGAAAAAAAATAGTCAAATGTTTTTTAACCATTGGTTGCAAAAATGTGAACCTTAACGGACTCCTTATATCAGAGATTTTTGATGCAGTCTGATATAATCCGACACACTGTTTTTGGGCC